ATCGGCCGTCAGCGCAGGCGATTCCTAAGGAATCTTTCAAGGGGATGCGGGAACGGGGTGCTGGACGAAGCCGTTGAGCCGTAGCCGAAGCCACTGAGATGGTTTTATAGACAATTAAATTTGGGATTACGACAACGTCGATAGACCTTAGGTCGGGTGTGAATGTCAGACTGAAGCCAAAACCAATCTGTTTTTTTCCTGAACATATTTTCTTGTGGGGTGGACTATGGTGCTCGCTTTGAATATTTTGATGACATGGATTTTTGTCTTGCTTTTTTTCGCTCGAATCTTTCGATGACGGGAAACACGCGGTTGAGTGCCAAAAATAGCCCTTAATAATTGAAACATAGAAAAATACGCATCCAAACTGTGCAGGCACTACCAACAAAAGCATACCAGCCTAAGCAATGACGTTGATCGATTAAAAAATATATAAAACGAACAATATCTTCGAAGATTTTATGTCCCTTTGATAGCGGTGATAGCAAGACTGTCTAACGATGATAGTGTCATGATGATAGCAGCGTTTGTACTGATTCGGCGCATTTTCTGTAATTCACGTGTCTTACTTTTGAAATGTTTAACCTTCCTATACGTGTTTTCCCATAACCATGGGCATACATTCAGTGTGGTATTTTCTCAATGTTATCAATGCTTGCTTAACCACTTCGTTTTACTAGTACCTTCTGGTATATTTAAGACCAACTATTTTAGGATAACAACTTTCAATACATATACATGAGGAGTCCATCACCTTTCTGGCCTACATCGAATTAACTACATTCATTTTGCTACGATACTTTCATGCAAGTTCTGTTAACATGCCTTGAAGGACGCACCCGGAGCCTTGTAGCTTGAGAGGAAAGATGCATATGGGCATCCCATGACTAAAACTCATATTGCAATTTATCGCTTCATTGCTTGGATTGCAATCTATGAAACCGTATATCCCCTCAACTCAGATAATTATCCGAAAATGAGCAAACGGGCCAGAAAACCATTAGGAATTAAAAGAAACTCGCTGATTCCAACAATTTCATAAATAATTCGTCGCCCAGTTCATAAAATGTTTATGTGGTGTTCATCATCGGCTTGCATGCACATTGTGCATGACATACACCTGAGCTTGTACAGCTACCGTACGGCGCGCATTTCCAACTTAACAGCATCAAAGCATCGATGACAGATACGCGTCTTGAACGGCATTGTTTTATACAGAAAATAAAAGTCTAGCGAACGCTGCACTCCAGCATCATCATGCCTTTGCATGCCATCATTTTAACCAGTGACAGGCAGCCTTTGCAGCGGTGTAACATGTGACCGTTTATGCGCTGCTAACCTCGGCCTCTTTAAGGACAGAAGGCGACATCAATCGAACCGGAACAACACTGGTCGACTGCCGAAAAACGGCCATGGCAGCGATGAATGGCTTCGAACGCCGGACTTACGGGTAGTGCTGCCATTATATTCACACAGGTCGCTGCAGCTATTTTAAATGTTCCCTGCAGCATTCCTAATGGTTTGATGGTATGCCCCGCCCGCAAAATAATGAGGTTGTTCTCCGGGCATTGTTCCCGATTTGCAAGTCTCTTGGCCCTTGCGAAATCCATGAAAGCGCTGTGAATCTGCAGCCCGATCACTTAAACGACCACACATTCCGGTCGGCAGCCGATGGATGGTCGTGCAACGGGCATCCACAAGGCAATCCGGTGACAATAGAGAACGGACCGCCAGGAATAAAGAGCCGCTGGAACCACGTGCCGACTGCGGCGTCAGCGCCTACAGCAGGTCAGCGGGGTCCTGCCCGCCCTGCGGCGCGCGAGTGTCGCCGCGACGATCCGTCATACGCCGCCACAAGAGCCGCCCTTTGGTCGCCGGGTCAGCGCGGCTGGCGCGCGCGACACCGGGCGGCGCGCTGGATGGCGCCTCGTACCGGCCATTTGACGGGATTGTTCGCCATAATGGGGCGTGGCGGCGGGCCGCGTCATCAGTCACCGACCGGCGGCGCGCCCCGACATCAAAGGGCTGAGGCGCGGCACACACGGCGGCTCCGCTTTGTCGCAGCTGGCACTGGCAATCAGAAAATGAAACCTGCGCCGCCCGTGCTGCAGACTGGTGGGCGGCGGCCATCCGCGACGACGCGTTCGACGCGGGGAGGTGACCAATTGCATTGCTTAACGGTGTTCTATAGGGCTAGGGTTTGGTGGTCAGACTCGGCCCGTAAGCCTTACGGAGGAGTTGTGTCAGGAGGAGGTCGTGAGCAACGGCCACCTGAACGGGTGGATTACAAATATGAGCCGGCTGTTGCGTTTTCTTTTGTGCGGGCTGTCGACCTCTTTGGGCTTTTCCGTAATTCAGCAAGGTCCACTGGATACCGGCTATCTGCCGGCCACCGAAGAAATTGGACGTTTTAAAGGTGAGCCCGATGGGTTTTTCACACGCATTTTGTTTCGAACATTGTCTGCTTGGTTGTGAATCGGTTATATCCGGACTGGGTCTGGCAGTGCCAGTTCAGCACGGCCCATCGGCCACTTTTATACAGCTCCGGGTACATGCATGGGGTATACAGGACGGCGGAGACACACCTTCAGGCTCTACCAAGCGTAACATAACATATAGGGTGTTGCATGGAACGTTTCCAAAAGTATGTATTCAGCCTTACGCCAAGAGTTGGCGACAAACTGTGTTCGGCGTTTGTCCCGTGGCCCAACCGCCGGGTATGCGAGTAAGAAGCCAGAAACAGTGCAAGAGTTCCGTTTTTCCGCCGCACAAAATGTCGGGAATATGCATATTGTGATTTGTGCAACCGTTTTTATCCGAACAATACCTTGATTGTTATATAAAGTTTGAGTCAGCTTATCATAAACATACAGACAACTCATGATAACCATCCTTAGATGAACTAAAACCTGACGCCTGCAGTTGATCGCGAGGCAGATTTAATCAAACCCACATCACACACAAACGCAGGTCTGATTAGGAGCGAGGGCGCAGTTAGAGCGCGCCTTAACCTCAACTTACTGGAAGTTGCGCTGTTCAACTGCTGTTAGTCGGACTTACTTATTCGCATCCACCGACCATAGTACCTACCACTCAGTTTTAAGAAGCAACTAGCACACTTTTCATGCTTCTCCATCACTTTGTCCAGCATTTGCGTGGAAACTGAGTAGACGACGGGGAAGTACTTACGCAACTTAGTTTGCTGGTGGAAGGTCTGAGCCGGGTAAAAATGACTATGGCTACCTTATTTGCACGCGAAATAAAAAGCGAACGGAGTTCTTGCTAAGTAATAGGTCAATTTGTGTTTTCGTGCACACGCCGTAGTGCGCAAACCACGGACCCACCCATTAGGAGGGGCTTAAGAATTGATGACCAAAATTATCGCACATTTCTGACCCATAGGTGTGCCATTAGTTAAAGCGGAAGCGGCAAATGTCACCTCTCTAGGAATTGCCCTCCAATGCAATGTTCTGTGGTCTAAACCGCAAGGGATCAGCGTTGCTAGGACGCATCGCTTAATTTGTTGTAAATAATGCCGTCTTAAAATGTTTGTGTATTTCACCTCACAGGTACCGAAATCATCATTCAATCACTGCATAGTTTTCTAACTTGATTAATTTTGTGAGTCCAACTGCCGGGCTCCACCGCACCTGATGACAGCAAATTTTCGATTAATGCGTTTATAAATCGGTACACGAACGCTAAACGTGGGCAAACACATTCCAGTCGGGCTCACGAGAGTGAGATATTCCAATGAATCAATGAGAACAATGTGTACGGGCTTTCAAAGTGTAGGATCCCATCGACCCACGTTCAAGCGTTCTCCATGATAGCGCGTCTTTTATCGCACCACTCGCTCCACGTAGCAAATTCGCCTAGGTGGTTAATGGAAAGGCTGCGAAGAAGCACACCTTCTTGAAGGCTGGTTTGTCCCATTGGTGGCATTTCTCATGGGGAGCTCCACGCCTTCTTGGAATTGGTACGGAAAATCCACACCAATCTCTGCGTGCGCCTGTTGTGTATCATAAATGCCATACTCTGCAAGCTTTTCACTACAAATAGCTCTATAACTTGCATCAGAGCATAAGTAGGGACATAGACGTAAATGTATATAAACACTTTTATTTACACCATCAGGGTTATTGTCCGTTTCCAATGTACTTAACACCCAGCCCCGAGAAATGGCCGCGGGTACCACATTATGTACAGGACGTCATTTTAGGAATAAGAAGGCATGCTTAGTTTTAATTGATACAGTTATTTTTAGTTCAGATACTGCAAAAAAGCGTCATGGGGAATGAATTTTCAGATGCATCTAGAGAGTAGTGAGAACTTTCTATTGATGAGTATTTTCACCTTAACTTCTTGTGTCTGCTACCGCTTCACACCAACTTCACAAACGTGCCTCCACTCATGGGTAATCCTGTGGATCTCGGTTTTAAAATGTCAGGTGTGAATTGACAAAAGAACATTTTTAGATATTTTTGTAGGAATTTAGCGACAGAGTTGGACTCGGGCACATTGTTATACACACCCAGAGGCTCATTCAGAGACAGCACTCACACTTCCCTCATTTCATACTCATGTGCATGATTTGGCAACAGGCTGGGGATCGCCGCGTTTTGAAATATCAACGCATTTGCTAACCTTCCTTATTAGCACTGTTGTCTGTTTTCCAATGTTTCTTCTTCGACTGAGGCTCCTCGTTACCGTGTGCCGCAGCCGAGACCCTGTGCAAATGCAGCGTCATCTGCTTCGCGCGGCCAGCCTGCGCCAGTGTAAGCTACGCCGCCGACAGCGCCACCTGTCAGCTGTTCAGGAGCGTCGCCTCGCGGCGCGAGCTGTTGGCCGACCCAGCTCGGGCGTACCGCTTCGTGGCGAGGCGCAGCGGACACCACCAGTTCTGCGCGAGCGACGCTGACTGCCTAACGGCGGGTGACCTGTGTCGCGGCCGTCTCTGCCAGAAGGAGAGCTCGCTGACCTGCCGTGACCTGCGACAGGTGCACGGGGTCACAGAGTCGGGCGTGCACTGGGGCGCCGTGCGGGGCCACTCCCTGAAGCTCTACTGCAACATGGAGTACGACGGCGGCGGCTGGACGCTGCTTGTGGCTGGCGTCGGCGAAGGCTGGGACGCGGCGAACGCCCTCTGGCGGCCGGCCGCGGACGAGCCGGGTCTGGACACGCCCTACTCCATCTACAACCTGTCGGACGCCATCAGGGATGAACGGCGCCAGACCGGCAACGCGCTGCTCCGGGACCCGTTCGAGGTGGACGTTTACGATCGGGTGGCGCTCAGTGGCGGCAGCTGGCGTGTGCCGCGCACCGTCTCCCTGCTGCGGAGCGCGCCCGGCCTCCTCCGACTGAGCGCCCTCAACGGCCGCACCTACGGCAGCTGGTCGCTGCTGTCGGTGTTGCCGACAGCGCCTTGGCTGGCGGCGGAGGCTACGGCTGGGGATGTGCTGATCACGGTCCAGCCGGTCCTGAGGAAGGGAGGCCACCAGTCCGGTACCGTCCTGGGGTCCCGGCCGCACCAGCAGGTCTGGGGCGGGGGCTACAACACCGGCAACGTGGTGCTCTTCATCAGGGAGTAGGCTGTGGGACGGAGTCGGGCCTAGGACCACAAGGTGGGGGGGGGGGGGGGGGGGAATGGCTGCGCCACCCGCATGATGCTTGTCTTCAGACAGCAAGGAGCGATGTCGGATCGGGCCTGAGGTGGGAACGAGTTGAAAGTGACCCTCAATCATTGGGGTCAGCATAGAGCCAGGCCTTAGATTTACGCCAGTGCCGGATACACTGGCCGTGTGATCGTCCTCACAAGGGAACAGGGACTGAAGAGCGGAGCAGAAGTAGCCATACCGCTAGGTGTGATATAGGACAAGGATAGAAGTCTGCGCTCCTCGTGGTCACACAGCGAGAACAGCAAAATTCAAGTCACCAACAACCAAAATAGCACGACCTTTCTGCGAAAGCGGAAGACAGCTTTGCCAGTAGGTGGAAGCAGCATTTTAGAAGAGAAGCATCGTTTCAAAGGCGTTTTCCCTGATATTTGTTTTGAGACTCTGTGCCCTGCGTCGTCAGACGGTGCTGTATAACTCATCCAGTTTTTAGAACGCATACTTCGTGGCCACGCTTATTCCCCAATATCCCTATCTTTCACTTGTATGCAGGAGTACCAATGCTTGCTTACACCGTTGTCAATCACCGTAGATAAATATACATGCATTGCCTTTGCCGGTTCAACGTGCCGAGAGTGCCGGGTCAGACGTTCATTGGTTCGCTGCTTGCGCCATACTTCTGATAATGCATGGTAATAAACGCTAATGAATCCGACCTTGCTTTTATATTCTGCTACTGCCCACCGCGGTAGAGGAACCCAATCAACAGGACGAACTTGTTTTACTGGTGGCGCATACCTGAGCCGGGCCGGACTCTTGAGAAACCCTCCGCATTTTTCGGTCCAGGTGCACTAGTTCACTGACCTGTGACGACTCATGTAAGGTCATGCTCTGTATAGGCTAAAGTACAGCCCCTGCGGTTCCAGCTGGTCAGTGCGAAACTCTTCTAACGGCCCACTTTGATGAGATCAACAACGTGGTTATTTAGAAAGCGAATTAAAAAGGAAGACTGGTCACGCAATATTTGTCTGTGTAAATGTTTTGCGGAAAAAAATTGCATGCATATTAATTGTTCGTGTTGCAAAAGTGACAAAATATTCCATGAGTGCTTCGTGCGTAATATCTTTTCTACAAGGATATAATGACCAGACGCCAGCGACGTCTGCTGTCGGTTGGAAATGTTGCTTGCTTGAAAACATGCCCTTTCTTGATGAAGCTATATAGCAACGTCCATTGAAGTCTGGGCACCATACGACATAGCACCCAGCATGACTTTGCTTTACTTAAGCTGACTTGTACTAAACTGATTTCCTCTGATGGCCTCCGACGTCTTTGTTTACCATCTAATCTAAATCTTAAGTTCTTTTCAGCCTGACTTTTCCGTAAATCGGTACTGTAAAACTCGCCCCTTTCCACAGCAAGCCACTGCCTAACTCGGCTCGTGGGGCCGCTGCTCACTGATTGGTCAAGATGAGGACGAATGAAAAACTCACAGCTTATTTCCTTTATGCTGCAGTTGTTGCGTCATTTTAAAGAGAGGACCGTGGTTTATTTCGTGTATACTTCCTAGCCTCTTCAGTCTGGCTTTCCCTTAAATCGGTCCCGTAAAACTTACCCTTTTCCACAGGAAGCCATAGTCTAGTTTGGCTTCGCGAGCTCGCTGCTCACTGATTTGCCAAGATGAGGACAAACGAAAAGCTCACGGTCGATTTCGTTTATATTGCGGCTGTTGCGTAATTTTGATAAGAGGACCGTGCTGCTTATCTCGTGTAGAGTTCCCAGCCTCTCCACATAGCCTATACGTGCATTGCGCGCCCTGTGCTCAAGATCCCATTGCTGGTGGTTTTAGAGATTTAGCACAACTTCAGACTTTCGACGAGCCAAAACAATGCCGCAAGATTGCCATCAACATTATATCTCATCCAATCGAGTGGTACTCACAAATCAAACCATGAAGGTCACTAGAACTCACCGAACACACATACGATTGTTAAACAGCGCTGGTGCCCGACACGCAAAGAATACCTCCTTTTGAAGAACGCACAGTCCCACTGACTGCAGGCTGCGTATGTTACATGCGTAACAGGCCGAGACTCAGCCGCACCAGCCATCACTGAGTCGCACCATGTCCGCCGGCATCCGGGAGACATATACACCAAGCCCGCCAGGTGTCCGGAGGACAGAGACGCCACGCCCGCCGGGCGTCCGGGAGACATATGTACCAAGCCCGCCGGGTGTCCGGAGGACAGAGACGCCACTCCCGCCGGGTATCCGGGAGACATACACATCGCCGGGTGTCCGGGAGACAATCACATCGTGCCTGCCGGGTGTACGGGGGACAATCACACCATGCCCGCCGGATGTCCGGGGGACAATCACACCATGCCCTCGACCCGACAGCGCGGCCGGGCGCCGGTGGCCGGGCCGCAGGGCGAGTCGTCCACAGCCTCGCCGATGCCGTCCAGCGTGTCCTGCGAGCCGAACTCGGAGTCGTCGCGGCGGCCGGAGAACTCGGAGCCGACCGTGTCGTACCCGGAGGCGGGCGTGGGGTCGGTCAGGCCGCCGGCGCCGCCCGCCGCAGCCCCCTTCCGAGTGAGACTCGAAGTGTCCGCCCGCGATAAACTCCGACAGCTGCCGCGGCCAGGGAGACGGTCAGCGGTCATACGGTCATACCGTCTGCGCCAATGTGACTTAGTGAGACACTCGGGAGATTTGGGATATTTTGGAACGGTAGGACATCTCCACTAGTCCAGCAGAGTGTGGCAATGCAAATTATATTTGAGGGTACAAAATAAGGTACATAATAACATGGTCCTTGCAACAGCGGGTGGAAATCGGTGACAATGCACTCATACTTGGAATTTTCTGCGTGCATGTGGCCCCATGTGCGCGGCATGATAAGTGCCAGTTAAAGAAACACAACGGAAGAGACACAAAGCTGCTAGCTCCTCACGTATGCCCAGTAATATTCCGGAATCGTGAGTACACCTCGAATCGTCATCCAAAGCACCATCGCCATCATCATCATAACTACCGCTGTCGTCACCACCATCGTCATCGACTCACCCTCTGCAGAGGCAGGCAGCCGACCAGTCGCCGGCGGTCCATGACGTACATCTTGTGGGCACAGAGCATGGCGAACATACGGTGCACCTGCACCAGCGGCGTCTCGACCGTCACCGAGAGTGGGAACGGCTCGACCTCGATCACCTGGTCCAGCTCGACGATGCGGCTCAGCTGCTGGCGGCGCCAGGCGCGCTGCAGCCGCTGCTCCTCCTCCAGGCGCTCCTTGGTCTGAGAAGGCGGCGGCCGGGCCAGGTCAGGACACGGAAAGGGAGGGGAGGGGGGGGGGGGTCGCGGGCCAGGTCGTCCAGAGACAACGGCCAGAAAACAGTCCGAAGCGATGAACGCATTAGGGCGAGTGTGAAGGGGCAAACAGGGCGACAATGCTGAAAGTAGCAAAGAAATGGTAGAAAGCAGAGGGAAAATGATGAAGTCAGAGGTCAAAATGATTTAGTAAGTTAACTTCTTACAGACAGGTTTGTCTCGACAGTGCATCTCATTCGTCGTTATTGTGGATAAAACAGGCATTTAGATCAGAGCGCGTCATAGCAAGATTCTCAAAGACTGTTCCATTTTGGTACATCACTTGGACACAGTTATCAACTCCATAAAACACTTTGGAGGACAAATGTACCTTGAACGTCCCTTGTGTAGGGCGACCATAGAATTACGTGGGCGGAAACACTTACTGGGCTTCTGATCGTCGTAAGAATATTGCTGGTGCGTTCCAGGGTCTTCTGAATCAGTTGGCCCATGTTCATTGCAGATAGATCGTTACCGTCCCTGAAAGAAGACCAGTTTCACAATGTGAAAATCTAGGGAGCACAGCAGTGCACAGGTAGAGCTTGCGTACATGAGTAACATATGAGCAATTCGGGAGCCAATGATTGTTTTCCAGCGTTTCCCTATGACTTCAATAACATTCACAACTGCGGGGAATATTGTAGAGAACTAGCTGGGGCCAGCACCTGAGAAGTTATTACAAAAGTGCCTTCAAAGGGCAACGCATGCGTTTACATTCCCCCTGCCCGGGTGCCCATGGTCCCTCATTGCCATGCTCCCCACACAACCAAGGACAGATTCAACGATCAACGCATCCCGGAAAGTGTTGCATCCTGGACTGTGTGTCCACGCCACGCACCTGTTGTACATGTCGGAGATGCTGAACTGCTTCTTCAGCCGCCGCTTGGTGTTGTGCGTGCGCTCCTCCAGGTCGACGGAGGCCGCCTTGGCCAGCATGCGCGCCATGCCGTCGCGCATGCGCGAGCTGCGGGAGCCCTGGGAGGCGAGCGAGTCGTACACCTCGCCGCTGCGGCTGGACAGGTCGGGTCCCGAGCGGCTGAGGTAGAGGGCGCCTCGCCTCGGCCGCGCGCCGCCCACCGGCGAGTCCGGCTCGTCTGCGCCGCTCCACGACTCGGCCAGCGAGTCGAACGAGTCGGCCGCCACCGGCGGTGGCTTGGCCGGCTCCGAGGCTGAGGCGGAGGAGCCTCGGCCAGAGTCTTCAGCCGCCTCGTCTCCCACCGTCCAGCCCGGCTGTCGGCGGGCGGTGAGGCCTCGTTACGACGCGGTGATGTACGGGTAAGACGCAGTGATGTACGATAGTGTGTAACTCCTAAGCATGCGATGGTAGTGACACTGCCTTCTGGGAGATTGTGTTATTGTGATATTGTGATTGTGTGTTCCAAGGGCTAGGTAAATAATGGACGAGGTTTTACAAGGCTCACAACTGCATGGGTGATTTGATGAGCTTTCTGTTGCATAATACATCTGCCATCAATCCTCTTGAGCACCCGATGATAACGCTCAAAACTGCAAGCCTGATTCGATGAACTGTCTAGCTGTACGAAACATTTGTCGCTTGTACTATGAAAAATCCAAAATATTGAAACAGTAATTTAAATCCAAGGAACCATGTACCAGAGGGCGCTTCCCCAACACCAAAACCAGCCACGTCACGACAAAGCATCGCGTGGCGAAGCACGCACTGACGCAACAATAGCGTAGCCCACGACCGCCACACATCCCACCATTCACAGCTCGCGCGCCGCTGTTCACTGACCGCGTCTGTCTCGAGGCTCAGCTCTGCGGGCAGGTCCGTCATCGCGAGTCCGCCCACCGCCATGTCTTGCTCCTCGACCCGCTTGACGCTGAACCGGGACAGCCGGCGCTCCTGGCTGGGGCGGGGGCTGTTGGCGGGGGTCGGCTCCGCAGGCTCCGGTGCCGTGGGAGGCTGCAGGTTACCGTTGGAGCCCTTGAGCGCCGACTTAGCCGGCTGGGAGCGCAGGCACAGCGGCTGCTTCGGTCGGATGGTGTTCTGCCGCACCAGATTCCAACGCACCTGGGAACGGAGGACAGATAGGATCGGAGCTGATTATGACACACACACACACACACACACCATACACACACGCAACCCACACACACACACACACACACACACACACACACCACTACCA